CTACGCTGCTGACAGTACGCTTTTGGTACTGCGCTGCTGAAACTTTGCTGTTGACACGACGCTTCGGACTCTAAAGTGGACACTAGGCTGTGGACAATATGCTGTAGACACTACGCTGTTGACACTTCGCTGTGGACACATACACTTGACACTACGCAGTTGATACTACGCTTTTGACGCTACGCTGTTGACAGGGCTGTCGACACTACGCTGTTGATACCATGCGGTTGACACTACGATGATGACACTACGCTGTTGACACTACGCTGTTGACACTGCGTAGTTGACATAACGCTGTTGATTATACGCGGGTTGACCTTACGCTGTTGACAACACGCTGTTGACGCTACGCGTTTGCCATTGCGTGGTTGACACTGCTTCGTTGAGACTACGCTGTTGACACTACGCTGTTGACATTACGCTGTTGACACCACGCTGTCGACACTACGCTATTGACACTACGCTCTTGATACTACGCTGGTGATTATACGCTGTCGACACGCTACGGTGTTGAAACTACGCTGTTGACACTACGCTGTGGAAAATGTGGGGAAATGTGCTGTGCACCCCACGCTGTGGAAAATGTGCTGTGGACACTACGTTGTTGGCACTTCGCTGTGGACACATGCAGTTGACATTAAGCAGTTGACACTACGCTGTTGACACTATGCTGTTTGCACTACGTGGTTGAAACCACGCTGTTCACACTGTTGATACGATGCGGTTGACACTACGCTGTTGACTCTACGTGGTTGACACTACTGAGACTACGCTGTTGACACTATGCTGTGGACACTACGCTGTTGATACTTCGCGGTTGACACTATGCTGTTCCAAAATGTCCTTGCCTTCGAGGGTCGAAGGGGTTGTCATCTCTTCCTCGGCGGAAGGCTGCGGACGGGCGGCGGAAGGTCGGGGGAGGTAAAGCGAGGCCGCCTCCGCCGGCGGAAGCCGGCGGAAGCTCGGCGGAAGACGGCGGAAATATAACAACCGCTCCAAAGAGGTGAACACGTTTTTGGTTTCAGGGTTTCCGAAATTCGCCATCTGTTCAAGTCATTGGTCTTTCCACTCAAAGTCTGGAGCGACCGCCCAGTTTTCAAAGGGAGCCGCTCTGCACCAGTGCAACCGTTGCACCTGTTCAAGTTGCTGGTCCTCGCCTTGAACTCAAAGGCGGCGGAGAAGGAGCAGGGAGAGGAGGAGGAGGAGGAAGAGGCGGAGGAGGAGGAGGAGGAGGAGCAGGAAGGAGGAGGAGGAGGAGGAGGAGGAAGGAGGAGGAGCAGGCAGGCAGGCAGGCAGGCAGGCAGGCAGGCAGGCAGGCAGGCAGGCAGGCAGGAAGGTGGAGGAGGAGGAGAAGGAGGAGGAGGAGGAGGAGGACAGGGACGACGAGGTTCGGGGGGCAGGACTTCGGGCGGGGAGGGTTGGCGGGAGAGGGTTGTGGCAGGACCAGGGGGGGGAGGGGCTTGTAAGTTGGTTGGGTGCACACCATGCCCTCCTCGCCCCTCGCCCTCCTGGCCCCTCGTCTCCCTCCTCGTCCCCCTCGTTCTCCTCCTCCTCCCTTTCCTTCTCCTCCTCGCCCCTCGCCCTCCTTGTTGCTCCTCGCCCTCTCTTGCTCCTCGCCCTTCCACTCCCCGCCCCCGCGGCCATCGCAAATTCCCCGTCCCCCTGGCAAGTCTTCCTCATCCGTCTGACCTCCTGCACCCCGCGCAGACAGGCCATGCCTTCTGCTCCGCCAGGCTGCCACTACGACGGGATCTGACAAGTTCGGTTTCAACGCCCCTCCCTCCCCCCCCCCTCCCTGGCCGGTTCTGTTTCAACGCCCCTCGTGTGTAGTTGTACCTGGTTCGCCCAGGAGCAGCTATGCCTCAGTGGGTTGAGCCGCGCAGGCTGTATGAATGTTGCCTTGATGTATCGCAGTGTCGGCAGAATAATGAGAGGTGGAGAAGGAGGCGGAGATCCAGTGTAAACTCAAGGCACATCAACGATGATGTAAGAAGCGTACCCTTCAAGTTCCCTCTTCCAAGGTCCCTGCCATAATGTATTCGTATTGCGGGAAGCGCGCCGTAATCGCATGAGAACCTCGAATCGTGCCAAGCCGCAGCGCATGGGACTGCAGCGCCGCTAACCGAACTGACTGCTGCATCCTGACAGTCCTAAATCGTGACAGAATGCCGTCCCTGTAAATCGTGCCAGAACACCTGTCCTGGAACTTCAACCCCGCGAATCCACATGACTGTGGTGTCCAGGCAGTTCTAAATCTTGCCAGAACATCCGTTCCTGGGACTTCAACCATACGGATCATTGAAGCTGCTGGGAACTTTTAAGACGACTCCAGGAGGCGCTGAGGCGAGCACTACATGTTGAAAAGGGACCACCCTCCACTGTTCAAGCTGATGCCAACTGTGAAGACGAATGTGCGCAGCGCTGAGGCGAGGGCCACATGTTGAAAAGGAGCCGCCCTCCATCGCTGAAGCTGGTGCAAAGTCTTAAGGCAAATGTGCGCGGCGCTGGAGCGAGGGCCACATGCTGAAACGGACCCGCCATCCATCCGCGAAATTGCTGCAAATCCCAAACTTTTGGATCCTACATGGCGTTGTAAATTCAAGCGGAACGTCCGGCCCGCCGTACAAGCACCTATGAAGGCGCGACCGGGAGCAGTTACTTACCAGGAAAAGATATGGAGGAGGAGAAGGAGGAGGACGAGGTTTTCGGACCCAGTGCCAGCAGCGACAGCGACAGGAGGAGGAGGAGGAGGTGGAGGGTCCCGAATCCCTGTCTCAGATGTCGGTAAGCATGCCTTCCCGTTGCGGGGAGCGCCCCCTAGAATCACGAGCACCAGCCCCCTGTTTTCAAGGGTCCACCGTCGATCTTGCCCGCTGAATGCACGCGACGAGGTGCGATGACACATGCCACGGGAGGTGTCCAGAGCGACAGCCCCGTTTGGAACGAAAGGGGTCGATCCGTCCATGGAGGAGCTGCGCAAGCTCAACACATGCCAACCATCCTGCGGAGCCTCAGGCGAGAGACCCATGCCAAACATGCGCCGCCCTCCGTCCGTGCCACAGTGGCGCACATTGGAACTCCGGGCCATGGAATCCGAGGCAGCGGACTGGCGTCCATCATTGCAAGTGCTGGGGCTGCAGGAACGAGCTAGCCTGATGATTAGCAGTATTTGTTGTGCTTCAAGGGCGAGTGTGCGCGGTCCCCAGGCTGGAGCTAAAGTTTAGCATCAACAGCCCTCAACCCTTGCAGGTGTTGTTTGTCTGCGGCTTCAGGATCGGACGTTTTAAGGCAGTCTCAAGCGAAACTCCCAGCCCGGCCAATGGACACGTCTGGTGGTGCGACAGGTGCCGAACCATTCACACGGGCGAGGAATGGAGGATGAAGGAGGATGGGGGAGCAGCAGGAGGACACGGAGACATGAACAGATGGAGGAGGAGGAGGAGGAAGAGGAGGAGGAAAGAGAAGGAGGCAGGGATGGAGGAAGCATAGCAAGGAGGAGCAGGAGGAACACTAGAAGCAGTGATGATGATGCTGATGATGTCGTTGATGCTGATATCGATGATGATGCTGACGATGGTGACGATGATTCTCATGATGATGATGCTGATTATGATGATGATGCCGACAGTGATGATGATCGTGATCATGTTGATGGTGAGGGGTATGATGACGATGACGATGCTGGTAATGGCGATGGTGTTGATGATGATGCTAATGCTGATGCTGCTGATGATGATTATGCTGATGATGATGATTATGCTGATGATGATGATGATGCTGATGATGGTGATGGTGATGGTGATGGTGATGGTGATGATTGTGATTGTGAACGTGATGGTGGTGGTGGTGATGTTTATGAAGTTGTTGCTATTGATGTTGTTGATGATGGTGATGCTTCTACTGATGATGATGATGATGATGATGATGCTGCTGCTGCTGCTGATGATGATGATGATGATGATGATGATGATGATGATGATGATGATGATGATGATGATGATGATGATGATGATGGTGGTGGTGGTGGTGGTGGTGGCGAAGAAGAAGAGGAGGAGGAGGAGAAAGAAAAGGAGGAGCAGGAGAAGAAAGAATAGAAGGAAGTGGAGGAGGAGGAAGAAGAGGAAGAGGAGGAGGAGAAGGAGGCGCAGGCGGAGGACGAGGAGGAGGAGGAAGAAGACGAATAAGAAGAAAAAGAAGAGGAGGAGGAGGAGGAGGCAGCGGAGGAGGCGGAGGAGGAGGAGAAGGAGGACGAGGGGGAGGGGCATGAGGAGGGCATGCCATCCTCTCCATCGCGGACATCACCTGAACACACCCTCGTGTGACCTCGGGAGGGAAGAGGGAGGGAAGGGAGGGAGGGAGGAGTGGTGATCGTCTTGCAGCAGCACAACACCTGCAGCAGCATGCATGCCACAATGGGCGCCGTCGCGTCGGCGCCTCGCCCTGCAGTCGCGCCCACCTCAAAAGTGATCTGGGGCCAATGGATAGGTTCGAGGGGGGGAGGGGAGGGAGGGAAGGAGGAGGAGGTGGAGAATGGGGGAGGAACGAAGAGGAGGAGGGATGGGGGGAGGATGAGGAGGAGGAGGAGGAGGAGGAGGAGGAGGAGGAGGAGGAGGAGGGAGGAGGAGGAGGAGGGAGGGAGGAGGAGGAGGAGGAGGGAGGAGTGGGAGGAGGGGGCCAGGAGGAGTTGGGAGGAGAGGACGAGAAGAAAAAGAGGGAGGAGGCGGAGGCGTAGGAGGAGGAGGAGGAGGAGGAGGAGGAGGAGGGAGGAGGAGGAAGAGAACGATGATGATGAGGAGGAGGAGGGGAGGAGGAGGAGGGAGGGGGAGGAGGAGGAGGAGGAGGAGGAGGAGGAGGAGGAGGGGAGGAGGAGGAGGAGGAAAAAAGGGGGAGAGAGAGGGCAGAAGTGGAGGAGGGGGAGGGAGAGGGAGGAAGGGAGGAGGAGGCAGAGGAGGCGGAGGAGCCCCTCGGCGGCCTTCGGCGGCCCCCGCTGGGCTGCGGAGGTCCGGGCCGCTGCCTTGCCGGCGCTGCTGGCGGCCGCGTCGTGGCGCCGCGCGGCCTCCCCTCGCGGGCGCGTCGCGGCGGAGGAGGAGGATGAGGAGGAGGGGGAGCAGGAGGAGGAGGAGGAGGAGGAGGAGGAGGAGGAGCAGGAGAAGGAAGAGGAGGAGGAGGAGAAGGAGGAGGAGGAGGAGGAGGAGCAGGAGGAGGCGTCAGAGGAGGAGGAGAAGGCGGAGGAGGAGGAGGAGGAGAAGGAAACGGTAGCCATACCGCCAGCCTTGACCCGTTGTTGTCTTTTTGAGTCTCCTGGGAGGCCCTTGTCGCCACCGCTGGATTCGCCGTTAAATTCTGGTCAGAACGTGCCCTGGGAAAGGTCCAGGGAGTAGCGTTATAGGAGGCGGCGGAGGAGGATCAGCCACACGCAGAGGGGGGTAGGCGGAGAGGGGAAGGCTTCTTAGAAGCACTACTGCTTATTGCAAAGCGTGGGCCTTGTCTGTAGATGTAGGGCCGGCGCCTTCTGAGAAGCAGCCTCGCGTCGCGGTGGCGGAGGAGGAGAAGAAGGAGAAGGAGGAATAGGAGGAGGAGGAGGAGGAGGAGGAGGAGGAGGAGGAGGAAAAGGTATTTACACCGCTCTACTTGCCTCGTTTTCGCCTTTTGGGGGCCTCCTGGGAGGCCCTCGTCGCCACCATTGGATTCGCCGCGAAATTCTCGTCAGAACGCACCTTAGGAACGGTCCAGGGAGTAGCGGTATGAATAAATTTTGGTCTCCGGTTCAGTAGCGTACAGAAGGGGGTAGGAGGAGGGAGGAAGGCTTAAAGGCACCCTTGCTTCTTGGAAGGCGCGGGCCTTGTCTGTAGATGTAGGGCCAGCGCCTTCTGAGAAGCAGCCTTTTTCTAAGAAGCCGTCCCTCTCCCCCTAACCCCCCTACCCCCCTTTGCGGAGGAGGAGGAGGAGTCGAAGAGTCAGTGACGGCAAACGGTGCGGTCGGAAACTTTTGGCTCAGCGAGTCGCCCCGCCAGTTCTGACCCACCGCGCTCGGATTCGACTCGTTGTCCACTTCCCGGCCCCCGGGCGTCCAGGTCCCGCCCAGCCTCCCGCCCCGGCGCGCGGAGCGACACGCCATCCGCCCGCACGGCACAGCGTGTCGCTGGAGCCGCCGCCGCGACACGCTACATTGAAGTCGGGCGTGTCCCTCTACAGGAGGAGCATTCCAGAATAGTCCCAAAATGGTCTGGGGACGATGTTTTGATTTTTTGCTGAATATTTGTTGCGTATGTGTTTAACTATTTTTCTTCTTCGTCCAGAATCCGCATGTAGGGGGACATGCCCGACCTAACGCTACACAAAAGCTCCTGGCCGTAGAGGGAAACAATTCATGGACACTCCCCCCAAAATCACAGTTGGCACGCGCGGCCGAAGTGCAACTCCTCAGAACCACCGCCAACTCTGATTTTTTGTTTGGGGAGGGGGCATTGGCAAATTAACATGGCATGAGTGTTCGCTAATCTTCCCCGAGGCATGTAGAAGAATTCTCGGAGGTCCGCGCAGATTGATTGGATCCGCGTTTCGCCCCCCTGGCGGCACCTCATGCGCCGCCGATCCAAGACATCGGCGCGGACCTCAGAGGCATTGTGTCAATGCAGTTTGTTATTCCTCTGGCGAGGGGAGGGCAGTTGGGACCTTTTGACGAAGCACAGACGTGCGGGGGAGGGGTAAAGGAGGGAAAGAGAGGAGGAACACGCCCCGAAGGGGTTGCTTCGGCGAAGGTGGGGACCGCCAGCGCCTCCACACCCCCGCACCCACAACTCAGCGGTCAAGCTCCCAAGTGGAGGCCAACTGCTCAGCAGGGGCGGACGGCATGCCATCCTCTCCATGGCGGGCATCATCTGCACACCCTCGTGTGGCCTCGGGAGGGAAGGGGGAGGGAAGGGAGGGAGGGAGGAGTGGTGATCGTCTTGAAGCAGCACAACACCTGCAGCATGCATGCCACACCGGGCGCCGTCGCGTCGGCGCCTCGCCCTGCAGTCGCGCCCACCCCGAAACGGATCCAGGGCCAATGGATAGGTTCGAGGGAGGGAGGGGAGGGAGGGAGGGGGGGAGGAGGAGGAGGAGGAGGAGGAGGAGGAGGAGGAGGAGGAGGAGGAGGAGGAGGAGGAGGAGGAGGAGGAGGAGGGGGAGGAAAGAGGAGGAGGGAGGAGGAGGAGGAGGAGGGAGGGAGGAGGAGGAGGGGAGGGAGGGGAGGGGAGGGAGGGAGGGGAGGAGGAGGGATGGAGGAAAGGGGAAGAAGTGGGGGGAGGGGAGGAGGAGGGCGTGCTCGACGTCTGTCCCAGCAGGGGATCGGGCCGCGTGCGCTCGTGGACGACTTCCGCGCCCAAATCTGGGTCGCAGTCGCGCCCTGCAGGAAGCCGCGCGCCGCCACCAGGGGCACCTCCAGTACGGCCCCACGAAGTCGGCTTTCCTGGCCAGGGGCCCCTCGGACATGCGGGCCTGCACGGCGTCGGGTTCGTGGACGAGTACATGTGGGGCGCTCCAGAAAGGCCCTCGCCTTTGAGGGTCGAAGGAAGTTTGACGGAGTGGACATCTCTTCCCCGGCGGAAGGTCGGCGGATGGCGGCGGAAGTAAAACGGGGGTGGCTTCGCCGGCGGAAGGCCAGCGGAAGCTGGCCGAAGTACAACATGCGTCCCCAAGAGCCGCGCCATCTGTTCAGACGCGCGGCCTTACGTCTTGGGGAGGGCGTCTTGGCCACCAGGGCGCATGCCGCCTCGCGAACCCAAGGTTGGCCGCGGGTTTGCCGTGGCGTGGGCTTTGTCTACCTGGGCGCGTTGAGAACAAGCGGCGCGGCGACATGTCAGCGTTTAAGGGCTTCCGGAATCGGGCGTCTGCCTCAGCGTCGACCGATCCGCAGGGCCGCCCAGGCAGGCGCACCCCCACGGCATCGGGCAGCCGGAGCTCGGAGCTGGGCGGCGGCGCGCCGTGGCCACGGGCCATCCCGGCTCCGCGCGCCACGGGCTGGGCCCCGGGGCTGAGCGCCAGCACGCTCCCAGAGGCGCGCGGCGCCGAGCTGTGCATCCACGTGGAGGGCCTCGGGACGACCCTGGACCGTCTCCAGGAGCTGCGGGCCAGAGGGGTCGTTGGCGTGCGCGGCCCCGCTTCTCGGGTCCGAATCCTGCGCCGACACGGGGTGGGCCGACACGGGGTGGGCCGCCGCGCGGGCGACGACGGTGGCGCAGTGCGCCATCCGCCTCTGCAGCTGGGTCGGTGCTGGCGGATCAAGCCGAGGGCTGCTGGGCGCAGTGGGCCCGGAGGCTCCCGGATCCGTGGCGCCTGCCCGACCCGCCATGGCCCTCAGGCGGGGTCCAGGGCACGCGCCCGGAGCCGCCGCTCGGTGCGAGCGGCGGCGCACGCGCAGGAGCAGTCCTGGCCCTCGCGTTCCCGGCGCAGCGAGGCGGGGCTGCCCCTGGCCCGCTGGCCCGCTGGGCGCCGCCGCGCAGTGGCAGCACGGCGGACGCCGTCTGACAGGAGGGTCCCACGGCGAAGGGGTCACGAGATGGACGTGGGCTTTTGGCCGGGGCCGCGGGGCCAGACAGGCGGTGTACAGCCTGACCCTGTGTTACCCCAGAGCGCAGACATGCTGTAACCATACCATTTCCGGTCACGGTTTTGCTGACTCACCCCAGGGCCAGGCCGCAAGTTTAGTGCAGTGCAGCGGGAGATGGACGTGACATGCCTTGCAAGCCCTAGGCCGCTGCGAGCTGCGGCACGCAGACATGGCTACGAGGTGCGGCTTGGCCTGAATGCCAGATGGCGTGACACATGTCCCATGGTGGAGGCCATGTCGAACGTGCGCTCGGACGAGGGGCAGAAATGCGTGAAGTACGACGCCAACTACAGCAGCACGTGCATCGCCGGATGCGACAAGTACCACACCAATTACCACAAGGACGGAAGAAACCAATACGGTTGCACGCGCCGGAGAGAAAGAAGCAATGGCTACGAGCGCGCGCGCGGAAGGGCCGGTGCACGAGAGCACACTTCGACGAGACATCCGCAGATACATGGCATCATCATGGAGATCCCCCCGGAAAAACAGCGCCGCCACCACCAGCACACCGCCGTGCAGCTGCAACAACCACGTTATCAGTACGACGTCTGCGACTACGATAGCAACAGCAGCTACGAGCGCGATAACCACGGCATCGACAAATTTGGCTACACGCGCGGCTTGTCTGATCTCGCTCCTGCCTTGATGGTGCAAAGCTTAAGTCGGGCCTGTCCCTCTACAGGAGGAAACTTCAAACATAGTATGAGCATATAAGATTTTTCTTCCGAGATCCGCCTGTAGGGGGACGTGCCCGACCTAGTGCAAGGCGCATGCTCACCAGCAGCGCCCCCAGGGCCACCGGCAAAACTCGGAGGGCAACGCGCAAAGCTGCGAGGACCAAAAGCGCAGCCACGGAAGCAACCGGCAGAGCCACGCGGGCCATGCGCTCAGCTACGAGGTCCAAGAGCATAGCTCCGAGGGCCACCAGCAGAGCTCCGAGTGCCACCAGCTGAGCTACTGGGACACAGGTACGACGGCGAAGGACAGCTTTGTCCTGGAGTGGGGCTTCCTGGTCGTCGCGGCCCTCGTGGTCGGGGGGGGGGGGGGGCGCCCTCGTTCAGACAGCGCCGCGCAATCGCTCCGAATCCAGATCCCACACCTCCCCCTCCCCCGGGCCCGCTTCGACCCGATCGATCCGACTCGGTATCCATCTCGGCCTGCGTGTCCGACACGATATGCGGGTTTTCTGGCTACCCGCTGCGGCCCAACGCTTCCATGGTGTCCCGCTGCATCCTGGCCTTAGCTGCCGAGCTGCCGCCCCCAGCTTCGGCTGCGGGCAGGACCTTAGTTGCCTCGATACGCGCGTTTTGGAAAGGCACCACGTGCAGTGTTCAAGACGTCCGTGTCAATACGTTGCGTGTTGGCTCCACGTATTGGGCCACGTTTTGGCGAACGTATCGCGTCGGACCCGCGTATTCAGCCCACGTGCTGAGCACCGTATCAATACGCCACGTGTTGCGTGGTGCGTATCGGGGCAGCTAAGCGCGGCAGACCGATTCGAGGCTGACTCGCCGTGTGGCCCGATCTGACACACGCTGCGATGCGGCCCTGGCCTGCCGATTCGGCGCTGGCTGGCCCTGCCCTGCTCTCACCGAGCTGCCGCCCCCAGCTTCGCCTGCGGGCAGGACCTTAGTTGCCTCGGTACGCGCGTTTTGAAACGCAACACGTCCCGTGTTCAAGACGTCCGTGTCAATACGTTGCGTGTTGGCTCCACGTATTGGGCCACGTTTTGGCGAACGTATCGCGTCGGACCTACGTTTTCAGCGTACGTGTTGAGCTCCGTATCAATACGCTACGTGTTGCGTGTTGCGTATCGGGGCAGCTAAGGGCAGGATTGATATCCATATCCGCTGCATCTTGGACTTTCTGGGAAGGGGCCACAAGGCGGAGGCGCGGTGGGTATTTATACAGGTCTAGCCTCTGTGGGGGTCAGAACTTTCTCCATATCCACTGCGCCTCTGGCCTTCTGGGGAAGGGAAACGCAAACTCCAAGATGCAGTGGATATGGATACACATGTGTTCTGCTCTGGCGCTGCCCAGGCTTTCGCTCGCACGGCCGCCGGCCGCTTTCGGATGCCCCCGACGCGCCGGCCAGCCCGGTCGGGCGCGCAGTGGCTCCTCTGGCATCTAGGCGCCGCCGCCGAACCGGGACTTGCAACCAGTTGTCATCGAGCACAAAAAGAACCCTGAACCCGAATACCACGATGAAGACGTGGCCTCACTGAGGTTCCCGTCGTCGCATCAGGGATCGTCATTCCAGGCGGCTTGGTCTGATAGATCTGCAAAGGAGATCCCCTATCCCTACTGTTTCTGGCCCTCCTAATTGATGTCCCCTCCCAAATGGTTTGGGGTCCTCCTTTGGTTAATCAAGGTGTGTTCCTCGGCGGTGTCGCGCTGACAAGTATATCCAGCTGCCTGCGGCAAGTCCCGCCACCGTGTCAGCCCAGCACTCTCGGGGGCGATTCTGCGAGGGGGTACGGGAGGCCGTAACGTGCGACAGATCGTGTCCCGAGGTTTCGGGGAGCCGTAACATGTGACGTGTTTATCCGCTTGGTGTCCTTCTGTGCCTCCTCGTCCTCGGCGCCGATTTCGTCCAGCTTTAGTGTTCCCTTATCATCGCGTTCCTCTTGCGCCACTTCGTATTCCCTAGATGTCCACCTATTTGATTCTTCAAGCGAGGCCCTGGAGGCCCTGGCCCTTTCCGCGAGGCCCTGGGGCCCGAGTCGGATGGGACTAGGACGAGGATAAATCCGTGACAGAGCGTCTAGGACTGCTCTCAGAACGTTCCAGAACGCTCTGGGAAGGCCGTGGCGCCTTGGGCATCCTGCAGAGCCGCGGGTTCTCAGAGATCGGGCGCGGCCAATGCGGGGGTGATGACAAGGGGGGGGATCCCATGACGGGGTCCATGATATCTCCGCAGGTTTCATGGCGCCTCTTCCTATTTCAATACGTCCCTGGTTCCCCCTGGGCCGCGCACGTGCCGCCGGCCACGATTTGCGCCCCCCCCTCTTGGACGCCCCCCTCCTGGACAGCCCCGAATTCCTCTTCGCCTGAAGTTATCCTCGTCAGGGCTTCGTCTTCCCGAGGACGGGCCCTTGGGAGCCGAAATCGAGGAGAGGCGCCTGGATTGACAAGGGCTCACATAGTCTCTGGGTCCTGGGCCTAGGTCGGGGTCTGTCGGAGGTCTGGGTCCTGCCCCGCCCTACCCCTCCTCCTCCCCCTTCTTTTCCCCTCCTCTTCCTCCTCCTCCTCCTCCTCCTCCTCCTCCTCCTCCTCCTCCTCCTCCTCTTCCCCATCCTCCCCATACCCATCCTTGTCCTCCTCCTCCTCCTCCTTCTCCTCCTCCTCCTCCTGCTCCTGCTCCTCCTCCCTCCCCAGCCCCCTCCTTTTCGTCCTCCTCCTCTTCCCTCCTCATCTTCCTCGTCCTCCTTCTCCTCATCCATTCCTTGTTCCTGGTAAATAACCGTTCCCTGTCGCGCTCCGAGGTCGGTCGAAAGGGCGGGCCGGGCGTTTCGACAACTCTTTCACAGATGGAGGGCGGGCGGTTTTGGGAATGCGGCTCTCGCCTGAGCGCCACGCACATTCGTTTAAGCAAATTGCAAGAGCTTCACGGATAGAGGGCGGGTCGTTTTCAAAATGTGGTTTTCGCATTAGCGCCCGCGAGCATTCGTCTTAATAGCTTGCAGGAGCTTCACGGATTGAGGGCGGGTGGTTTTCAATATGTGGTTCTCACCGTGGCGCCGCGCACATTCTTTTTAAACATTGTAATAATTCCACGGGGTGAGGGCGGGTGGTTTTCAACATGTGGTTCTCTCCTTAGCGCTGCGCACATTCGTTGTAAAAGTTTGCAAACAAATTTACGGGTTGAGGGCGGGCTGTTTTCAAAATGTGGTTATCGCCTTAGCGCCGCGCACATTCGTTTTAGCAGTTTGCAGGGCTCCTTAGCGCCGCAAGCATTTTTCAAAATTCGCGAGAGTTTCATTGGGTATCGTGGTTAGCTTGCCGGAAATCATGTTTTGAAATGGTTCATGACTGTCAGGGCGCAACAATTACGTGATCCGCGGTGTTTAAGTGCCAGGAACGACGTCATGGCACGATTCTGGATCGCCAAGACTTCACAATCAGGTTAATTCGTGGCGTTGGAGTCCTGAGAATTGTGTTCTGGCACGCTTCAGGATGTTTGCACGGTTGTCCCCAAATGGGCCAATTCCTTCAGTGGAGATGATCCCTTGTAGGGGCCTATGGAGAGAGAGCTTGGAGGGAGATTGCGTTGTTTGATGAATCTTGGATCTACACTCGTCGTCGTCGTCGTCGTCCTCCTCCTCCTCCTCCTCACTCCTTCTTCTCCCCCTCGTACTCCCTCTCCTCCCCCCTGTCCTCCTCCTCCTTCTGCTCCTCCTCCTCCTCCTCCTCCTCCATCCTTGGCTCAGGCAACTTCAAGTGTGATGCTTGTAATTAGCGGTCTTCGTCGTCCTTGCCTCCTCCTCCTCCTCCTCCTCCTCCTCCTCCTCCTCCTCCTCCTCCTCCTCTTGTGGCGCCGCTCAGCCTTGCGGGCGCCCTCCCGCCCACGCCGATGAGGGAACTTGGGGAACCCTCTCCCTTGCTGCCAGCCCTGGCGGTGGCAGCGGCGCTCCCGGTGCGCCACCCGCCGGGGAGAGGGGCAGAGGACTGGTTTTCACGACGAGATGTTCTGAAGCCTACCATCGCAAGACGCCCTCCCACCTCCCCCGTGGAGGTGCCAGAGCAGCTGCTCCTTCGCCGCCCCGGTGTGGTACGGGGCCGCCGCACCTCCGAGGGAGCGCCGCGACAAGAAGGTGGAGTACCTGCCGGGCGGGACGCCCGCGGACCCGCGACGCCCGCGCGGGAGCGCGCGCACCACGGGGGTCATCCCTCGACAGGGTCTTCCATGTTTGATTCTTCACGCTTCGCGTATCCCGACCAGCCCACTCAGAAACGCTGCCGATGAGAGCTGATCGAGCCTTGTTGGGGCCCTTGAGGAGGCCCTGTGAGGCCCCTTGGGGCCATCTTACAGGGCGTCGATCAAAGGAGAGGGGTCCCTGATTTTCCTCCCCCCTGAGGCCATCAGGATCGCCTCTCAGGGTGCTCTTGGGGCGCTCGTCGTACGCTCTTTGGCGTTCTTGGGGCCATCTTGGGGCCATCTTGAGGCCTCTGAAGCCCATCGGAAGCAAGAAGGCGATAAGGCAACATTCATTGATGGTCATCAGGTGTTTGAAGGATGCGGGTATCTTGGGGGGGTCCTGAGGGGGCTCCGAGAGCGCTTGGAGCCGTCTTGTAGCATTATCGGGGCATCTTGGAGGCATGTCGGAAGTTATCTTGAATCATCCTCGGTTATCTTGAGCCATCTTCGAGGCCATCTTGTAGTTTCGGACGCCCACTTGGAGCCATCTTGGGCCATCTTGGACGCTCGAACCCATCGCGGCCCCCGTCAGAAACCTCAGGGAGGGGAGGGGGAGGGCACCCCTCCCCGAAAGGAAGAGGGGTTTGGGAAGAGGAGTGACAACCTAATTTGACTACCCACGCCCAAAGGGCTGGTGGGATTAAATGCGACGGTTTATCGCTGCTTTCCGCCTCTGGGGGCCCTCGCCAGGCCCCAGGACCTTCAGAAACGGCTCGGGATGAGAAGCTGGCTTTGGGAAAACGGTCGGGACATCAGGGGGCCACGTATTGAACAAATCAAGGCACCAGATTTGTTTTTTGCGGGTTCGGTGATCGCACAGGTCGGTACGGCTAGGTCGGGGTGCGAAAAAACGAAAGCGGCCGCGGAGGGAAGGGAGGCGGAGGAGGTCACCCTGACAGGGTTTGTCAGGTTTTCGTGGATTTTCGGAGGCTTTCGGGGCCGAGGGTGCTTTCCATCGGCTACGCCTCGTCGAGGTCGTCCAGGGGAGGCCAGGAACGTCCCGAACGGCCGCCCGAGGCCCGAGTCATGGCCCGAGAGCCAGCAGGAGGGCACCGAGGGGCGCGCGTCTATACGTGATGGGTGTCGGCTCCGACGGGGGTCAGCCAACTCCCTCCGATCCCCTCGGGCTGACCCGGGCTTGGGGGGCCATACGAAGCCGCCCCAGAAAGGGCATTACCGTCGAGGACCGAAGGGTCTGGCATCTCTGAAGGCCGGCGGAAGGCCGCGGCAGAAAGACGAGGGCGCCTCCGCCGGCGGAGGCCAGCGAAAGCTACGGGGAAGGCGGCGGAAGCAAGACCAGCCCCTCTCATGGGATGACAACCCAGACATGCGACGGCCTGAGTTCTTCAATACAGGGTCCCCGGACGTCCCGACCCTTTCCCCGGGTCGGTTTGCGAACGGTCCTGGGGCCCGACGAGGGCACCCTGGAAGCCAAAGACGGCCAAAGCGCCTCCCGCCCTCAGCTGCCTCGATACGCCCGTCTTAATACGCGACACGTGCCGTGCTCAAAACGTCCGTGTCGATACGTCGCGTGTTGGCCCCGCGTATTGGCTCACGTGCTGGCGAAAGTATCGCGTCAGATTCACGTGTTCGGTCTACGTGTTGAGCCTGGCCGCTCCAGGTCAGCGCTGGCCCTGGCTGGCCCGTCTCCGACCGACGCCGGCTGGGCGCGCGGGCGCACCGATCACTGCAGTGGTGTCTCTTCGTCGTCGTCGTCGTCGTCCTCTGGGCGGGGGTCGGGCCAGGGATGAGCCGCGGCACGTGCTGCGCTCGTGTGCGTGGTCTCCGAGCTCCACCTGCGAGTGGCTGTGCCCATCGGCGTGGACTGGCGCAGCAGGTGTCCGGTGCTTCGTGCGGTGGGCCCTGGAGAAAAACAGTCGTCGCGTGGTTTGAGCCATTCGGGTTTACGTATGAGTCAGGAAAGCAGAGGACAACGCCAGCCCCCAGGACACGGCGATCATCAGTTCATGCGCTAACTAAGTCTGGCGGGCCGGGGCGCTCCTGCGGCCTGCTTCGTGCTGCCGCGCGCTACGGGTGGGGTCGACGTGTGGGCAGCTGGAGGTCCCAGTCTTGCGCATCGTGTGGTCTTTTAGCGGGTCTCGCCCAGCCCACCAGGCCCAAGGGGAGCGTCCCCTCATTGTCTCCTGCTTCGGGCGCGCTGCGCCGAGAGTCAGCGCTGCGCCTGGAGTGACCACGTGACCGGTCTCGCAGACCCGCATCGTAGAGGGCCCTCGCCCCGCATCCGTCCTACGCGACAGGGGGCCCTCTGGACATTGTCGCTCGTCTTTGCGTGGATCTGCGGGGCTCCTCCGCGCTCGAGCTGGGCGCGCAGGTGTTTGAGGCCCCTGGCACGCGCGGCGCCTCCCGGATGCGTCCAGCGTCGCAGGAGTGGAGGCGCCCGATGCGCGAGGAGGAGGCGGCCAATCGGGCGCGGCCGTCCCGATTCGCCCGATAACAGCGGCGGCGCCTGGGAGATCTGCACTCGGCGGCAGTGGCGTGCCACCCGCGCCGTGGCGAGGTCCGCGGGCCGCCCTGCTCAAAAGGCTTGTCGGTTGCATCGCTCACGCCGCGAGTGGCTCGGTCCAGAAGGACTTTTTGTATGGGCGCTGCTGTTGCGTATTCAGCGTGCCTCGAAATTCGGGGCCCCCAACGCCCTCCCCCCAGGCCCCCCCCCAGACTACAAGGGACTGCAGGGCCCCCTCTCCAGACTAGAAGCCCCCCCCGACAACAGGGGGCCCCCTGGATGATTTGTCACCTCAGAACTGTTGGCGTACTCTGAGTGTAGTGTGTATATATATATATATACATGCTCGTTGGTCATGCGTTGTGCCGTAAGGTAGCTACCGTGGTGACTTGAGGCTGGCTGAATCGGTCACGAATCATCAGTGATCAACTGCAGGCTGTAGAGCACACATCAGCTGCAGCCAGAATGGGCCGAAAGTATGTTCTCTCTCTCTCTCTCTATATATATATATGTGTATATATATATATATATATATATATATATCGTGTTCGCATGTCTCCATATACGGCGCAGGGAGTCTCGAGGATGAGCACGGTCGCCGCGCGCGGCCCCTCAGGGAGGCGATGGAGGGGGGATGGGGAGAGGAGGATTTCGAGGACGAGGAGGAGGAGGAGATCGAGAAGGAGGATATCAAGAAGGAGGAGGAGGAGGACGACGAGGAGGAGGAGGAGGAGGAGGAGATCGAGAAGGAGGAGATCGAGGAGGAGCATACCGAGGACGAGGAGGAGGAGGAGGAGGGCTTCGAGAAAGAGGAGATCGAGGAGGCGGAGGAGGAGGAGGAGAAGGAGGGGAGGAGGAGGAGGATCTAAACCAATTACCCTAGCCAACCCAACCAGCCAGCCCAACCAACCAGCCACCCAAACAACTCAACCGGCTCAACCAGCCCAACCAACCACCCCGCAACCCCAGCCACCCCGCCACCCCGCCAACCCGCCCACCCCCGCCGCCTGCCCTCCGTCACCGTCGAGAGGGGGGGGGAAGTGTTTCTTACAAGCGAAAACCACAAAAATCACCCTCCCAGGGTCCGGCGGGACAGCGGGGGGAGGGGAAATCGCACCGTACTATGCGGGAGGGGGATTCGCGCCCGAGGTGCCCAAGGACGATTTTGGGCCTCAAGTGCGACACGGTCGTCACTTTATTACCTTTCACCGCGCTCCCCTTCTCAACGGAAAGGCTCCCATCCGTGAAACTGTCGTCATTTTTCAGCCCCCGCGAGAGTCTTCTTAGAGGCCCTCAGAGGCTCTAGGAGGGCCCATGGCGGCCTCGGGAGTGCCTGGGAGATCTCCGGAGGGCCCCAGGAGGACCCACTCTGCACCGCGCCCCCCTTCTCAACGGAAAGGCCCCCATGCGTGACATTGTTTTCATCATTCCGCCCCCGCGAGAGAGTTCTTAGAGGGCCCACGGAGGCTCCAGGAGGGCCCATGGCGGCCCCGGGAGAGCCCACGAGATCTGAAGAGCCCCCCGGAGGACCCACTTGGAGTTACACTCAGGGAGCTCCAGAGGGCCCACGAGGCTCCAAGAGGCCCCAAGAGGCCCCGAAGAGCCCAAACAGGCCACAGGACCCCCACCGCGCTCTAGGAGAGCCAAGGCGACACCAAGAGGCTCCAGGACGGGCGTCATTCCCTCTCTTCCTCATGTTCGTCGTCGTCATCCGCCTCCTCATCCGTCCTGCTTTTAATATTTCCTCCCCCCCTTCGTCATCCTTCTCCTCCTCTTTCTCCTCCTCCTCCTCCTCCTCCGCCTCCTCTTCTTCTTCCTCCTCCTCCTCTTCCTCCTCCTCCTCCTACCTCATCCGTAGCCTCGATGGCTCCGATAGCGCCGTGCGCGAGATCCGCCTCCTCCCCATCCGTCCTCCTCCCTCCTCCTTCCCTCCTCCCTCCTCCCTCCTCCCCTCTCTCGGGAGCGTCACAAAGAGGCCCTCCGAGGAGAAATTCACGAAAACAAGGGGCGCCGACACGATGAACAGACACCACGTCGGGGCTCTGGGAACGGATTCGAAGACGAAACCTCGAATCACTTAGTCTTCGATGTTCGGGGCATTTTTCTGACCACGTGCGAGCCTTGTGGAAACTTCCGAGAGCCTCAGAGGTGGACGTCTGGCGCAAGAACACGAGTGGAGGAGGAGACAACACGACGCTCCACGGAATAAACTGCACCCGATTGGTTTCTACCCCCGTGAGGGGCGTTACAGGATATCTAGAAGGAGGATATCGAGGACGAGGAGGAGGAGGAGGATATCTAGAAGGAGGATATCGAGGACAGAGAGGAGCAGGAGAGGAAGAGGAGCAGGAGGGGGAGAAGGACATCGAGGAGGTCGGTTCCCTTCGTTGCGGCGCGCCGCGGGGGGCAGGGCAGAGGATTGAGGACCTCGATCGGAGGGGGGGGAGGCACGCGGCAAGGGG